TTCCTCAGCCAGCTTTGCTGGCTGAGGAATTCTGGGAGTTGAAGTCCACAAGTCTTAAAGTTGCCAAGGTTGGACACCCCTGCTCTAAATGTTGGTGAACTATAACTGTCAACCCTTCTCACAATTGGACCTACTTCCTAGGCTTGGGGGTTATAATTCAGCAGGATCATTATGCATATCGATGGATAGTCTATTTTTATTATGATTGTTTCATATTTTGAGGATATCTTCAATCTAAGTCTTTGTTTTAAACCATAATAGATATGTAATATATTTAATATTTAATCATTGAATTTTTCCTTCTTAGGGACCTAACACAATAATCATCTGCATGGTCATTTTATTGAACATTGGCCTGTCTATCTTATTTGTACATTTTCTGACATGATGAGATATCATAACAAGGTAAGAGTATCTTGGGTGAGGTGGGGGTTAGAGGTTTTAAGGGATTACTGGGATGGTAGTGGTTAAGAGTTTTGTGGATTTTTAATGTTGTAAGCTGCTCAGAATCACCACATATGAATTGAGCAGTCATATAAATTTGTTTAATAAATAAAGAAGAGTGACAACACTTATTGGGATCCGCCCAAGGTTGGTTATAAAATGGGTGGCTCTTTAAATGTTTTAAATAAATGCATCTGAAAAAACACCATCTGCATAACACCATCTGAAAAAAATTCCTTTCACAGAGGCAGCCAGCCACCTTGGTGATCCCTGGCTAACACATGCCATATGCTAAATAAAATAAAATAAATCATCATGTTTATTCTAACTCAATCTCCATTCAGTTCAATGAGAATAGTTTCTAATAAGAATGTCATCAGCATATTCGCTGACACCAGTCATTTTTTAAACTCAAAACCTGGATCATCTCACTATGTGTCTAAGGAAGCAATGGCTGGGGCTTACAATAATTCTTAAATGATACAGAGGTCTGTTTTATGCATTTTCTATAAACTTAGAGTATTTGTTTGTAAGATGCAAAAAACAGGTGTCATAATTATAGTAATTCTAGTTGCTTCACAACATGATATTTTAAAACATAAAACAAGCCGTATGTAGCCACAATAATAAAAAATGAGATAAAATTCCAGTTAAAATACAATATACCAGCAAATTAAAGCAGAAATAATTATCTCAACTCTCTTCTCCAAGGTCTATTAATTACTCCATTTGAGTCCTCTTGATCCATTTTAATTTCTCTGTATATTATCTCTCTATCATGCCTTATACTGTATTGCCTTTCTGTTTCTTCTCTGATAACTTTCCCTTTCACCTTCATATTTTTCTTGTTTTCCATTCTGTGTTTCTTCTCTCACTTTTGTTTTGCATGTCTCCTTTTTTCATCTTTCCCCTTCATCACCTCCTCAATTTTCTCTACTTCCATTCATTCATTCATCAGGCTTCCTCTTTGTTCTCCTGACCTCCACCACTGACTGATCTTTCCTCCACATACCTGACTACCTACGCTCATTGTGTCTGTCTATAGAGACTGGTACAATAAGCATTCCAGAACTGATAGGAAAAGAAATGTCAGCCACAGTTTGTACTGTTTGACTTCAGTCAGACAGAAAGAGTGGGGTGCTTGTTTTTAACAATATTCTAACTGAACGTGATGGAAATGTCCTCAGACCATCGTGTTGTTGTTTTTTAATCAGTTAAATAGAAATAAAGATGAATGAGAGAAGAGAGAAAGGTTGGAAAGATCAAAGCCACTTCATATATTGGTATTGTCATCCCCCTTGCTGAGAGCTTCTTCCCAACAACTGCTATTCAGTGTGTGCTATTCAGGGAAATTCATTCTGTGGATTAAGTATGGGAATCATACAAACATTGCCTTTTTTGAAACTGCAGAGTAACTACTGATACAGTCTTCGTTTTTATATGAATTATTCTATTTTCTACCACAGGATGGCTGCTGATACCATCAAATTATTAACCAGGCAAAAATAAGAATGTGGGAAATAAAAGACAAGTATGGGGAATGGAATAGGAACAATATTGTTTATTATCCAGGGATAGGGATTGTTTAAAAGCACAGGTAATAAACCAGAATATTAGCTATTAGTTTTTAATTCTTATGGAAAGCCTCTCTTATTTATGGAACTTTCTCCCGTTAACCTTTTCCTAGGGTAGTATCGCAAATGTTAAACATTTTTTAAAAATTATGAATTCTGTTACCTTCCTAATTTTTTAAATTTTATATCTTCACAGAACTTTATGCTGGTCCAAACAACCATCCTAATTAGAAATAACATCAGCCATTCAGAGCTATGTTAAAAGGAAGACGCATAGAAGCACCCAGTGAGTGTACTGTGGTCATGAACAATTACACCATGCTTCTGGCAAACTCTTTTGCTCCAACCATAGCAGGAAGAGATCTCAAATTTTACAACTTCTTTTGTTCTTCCTTTTTTCCCCTTTTTTTTCTGTGTTGCTTTGAAGATAATTTTGATGAACTCCACTGTCACTTGTTGAAGAAACAAGGATTCATCTTAATTGTGGAATGGAAACACAAACTAAAAAGTCTTTTCTTTGAATTTCACTGTGAAAACATCAGACTTAATGGTACAAATCTTCCAATCCCCATACTAAATTGTGCTGCAGCTCTGAATCATGATTAACTCCAAGAATATGCTGAAGGTGGCTGGGGGTAGGAGGCATTCATGCATGCCCCTTGTTGTATTTTGAGCAATTATCCAAGTCCCTGAAAAAAAACACACAGTTTTCTAAAATCATTAATATGGCCTTAGTCAAAAAAGGTAGAGTCAATAGGAAAGGTTTAGAAACTAGGGCCTAAAATTTCTTCCTGTCTTGTAAAGGACTTCCCTCCCTCCCCAATCCTAGATTCTGCATTCTAGAAGCTCTAGTTTTGTGTTCTTTTTTTTCTTTTAGCTCTATTAGGAGAGCCAAAGTGTTTGGGCATTCAATTTTTCCCTTTCCCCCACTGTCCAATTTGATGCTTCTCTCCACTAGCAAAGCAACACATTCATTTCTTCTCAAACTTTTTCAACCTCAAATTGAGTTTAGGATTTGGATATGAAGAACTTTTCATCCACTTTCGTAGCTAATATAGAAGTGGAGCAATGAAGAACTGGTTCAGTTGGATCTATTTAGATATCTAAATGTTTAGCAGGCTACATGCGGGCTTTTGCAGCGGCTTTTATCTCTTTGGTGTGTTGTTCCCCATACTTCTTTATTCATTGATTACACAGCTTTGCTTTAATTTGGCTAGCTGGCAGTGGTGGGAGAGGGCCAGGATGGTAGCTCGTTCTTTGCTTCTAAAAGTTTCCATTTAGATGTCCTCCTTCCTTACCACTTGTCCTGGGCCAGTAGCAGTTGAGAGACTCCAAGGAACTGCTACAGTATGCCAACTTGTCTATATTGTGTATAAGCCTAAGTGGTTGTTTTTGTCAATCATACTTGGAGCTACTTTCTTTGGAGACTAGCCCTATTTAATATTATCTCAAAGCAAAAGCTTGAAAGAAGTTCGCCAAAGAATTTGGAGGCTTTAAAGAAAAGAAGATTCTCCCAATCACAAGTGTCACAAAGCTTCCAGGATAAACTGCACACATCATAGAGCTAGCAGCACCAATGGAGCAACAGCCAGCAAAGCCAAGGATCCAGAAGGGAGCAAAAGTGAAATATGGGCAAGCAATCTTCTTGACAACCAATTGGCAGCATGTACCTAATCTGGGCATAGAGTTTCCCCATACAAACCAAATTGAATACGGCGTTAGGAAAAATTGGTGGTTTCACCTGCTCTTAATTCTATATAATTCTAAAACGAGTGAAGCTTTTTTCCCTGAATAGCAGATCTCATTCTCAGACATAAGTAAAGTCACAATTAAAAAGAAAAAAACAAAATAAATCCTATCTTTTTATGAATTTCAGTGCAAGGATGCTGAAACCTGGTCTTACTGTAAGCAATTCTTTTTGCGATGCTGATGAGCAACAATTAAACACCAATGAAATTTTTTTAGCTTACTAACTATAGGCTGCATTTTAATGCGGCTTGCTATAAATGTTGGTAAATGAAATCTGTGCTCATTTAATAACTATACAGTGCCTTGAGTATTTTTGTTGCTAGCTTTGTTTATCCCCTTCCCTCCTTAAAATCAGACCTGTGGCAAGATCCATTTTACCCTCCGTCCTTTTCTGTTTATTCAGATGCACACATGACTTGTCATTGAAATTTCAGTATGTGAATTTGTCTTTAAAGTGTGTGGATGTTCCCTTTCCCAACTTTCCTTGAGGGGGAGAGAACGAGGATTTTTGTTTCCAAAAAGATTTTTAAAAAGTGCCTTCTTTAAAACTGACAATGATTTGTTTTATATATATAGTGACAGTCCTTGGAATTGCAGCTGTGGGTTAAATGTGCGCAAGTAAAATAGATAAGAAAATTAATGCGTTACTGTATAAGAGACTGTAATTGTAGGTGCCAAAAAATGACAGGATTTTAAGTGCAGCAGGTAATCCATGTTTTCAAAACAGATGACTTACAATTCATGAATTGCTGAAAATGAATTTGGAAGACAGGAATGCTGTTCCCGATAGCTTGTTTAATAACTATTCTGCTTTGAAGGAGGAGAAAAACAAGATTTCTAAAAATGAATGAGGTATGGCAACACTGCTTAGAAAATTGTAGAAGATTATTTTGTCCTTCAAACATGAAATAATAGCAATATAGGCAGTTTTGGGGCGTTTATTGTTATGTTTCCTTTTCATCTAAATATATTCCCTTAAATATAACCAGGCTGTTATTTGCTTTTGAAACCTGACAGCCTCTTTACTGGCTTTCTAGGTGTACAGTTTAGTATGCCAGCAGCTTTACAACAGGGAACGTGATTTTCTTTGAGAAATGTCAATGTCCTTTATTTATCATGAAGCACAAAATTGAGCCTTTTTGAAAAATGTTAGGGTTATTTCCATCCACCTCTGAATTCTCTTTTGCAGAAATACTGTGTGGTTATTTTCTTTGTTATGTTTTGTTCTCTGCAAGGTAATGATAAGGATAAAATAAATACATTTGGTGTCTGTGGGATATATGGGGCAAGATCCACAGACTTATCTGTCCAGAGGCTGTTTTTTTTTAAATTATTTTACTTTAGACAGCTGGATCTCCATGCCAAATTGCAAAACTGATTTTGAAATTTATCCTTTTCAAATGTAATATGGATGATGACTATAGCACATAATGCTCTCACTTGGAGCACAAAACATTTTTGACTGTCCTTGCCATGTATGTTTTATATATATCTGTAAAGAGAAGGAGCTTCTTGGTGCTTGTGCATACATTGGTATCCCCTGATTCACTAGCAACTGCTTTGTTTACATTAAAAGCACAAGCCTTCACCAAAGAAATAAATGTAAGTAATTTAATAGAGAGGAAATGAATCACATATGCCTTTTGGCTCTCAAATAATGCCAGTTCTTCCTACAGTTCTGAGAACCCTGACTTTTAAGATTGTTCAAAGGATCTTCTTTATTCCTTGTTCCAAATATCACCTTGAACAAGATGACACAAAAAATCCAGAGCCTCATATGGAAGTCCCTGCAGGTGTGAGTTTTTCTATTTGTGCACAATAGACCTTTTTAAGATGAATGGAAAGGTCCTACAGGAAAGAGATCTGCCTCGTACTTCTTGCCTCTCCCAAAGAACTTCTGGATTGGGACTAATATGTGCACAAGCCCTGTGGAGTTTGCTTCCTCAGGTGAGCAGGAGTGGGTTTACCTCAATTTGCATGCCTTCAAACATAGTTTGATATTCTTCAAAAGTTCAGGGCTTTCAAGATGACAGATGTATCATCACGAGAAACATACCTTTTGAAATCACATGTTTTAAAAAAATTTTAAAATATGACAATTTGTGCAATGCTATCCAGGACCTTTTATTTGCTGTTATTCTGGATTATGTGCAATAATAAAAGGTTCTTTTGTTCACATTACCAGCTCTGATTTATTTTAGATGAAAGCATGGGAAAGTTTCATATCGGACACGCTTAACAAACCAGCGGTGTATCAAATGTTCAGCTACAAAGTTCAGCCAAAGCTAAACTTTTTTAAGCAACAAAGGCTTTAAATGGGGCATGCATTAAGTATAAGTTAAAAGTTCACCCATATCAGTCTTTAAAACATACTTTGGATCATTCCCAAGAAGTTTTGATTTTGTTGGGTATGTTGAATTGTTACACAATTAATAATAAAATTGACCGATCTAGATTGTGACCTAATGTGATGACCCAGGGTGGGATACAAAACAAACACAGTCATAGAAAACAGGTGAAGCCCCTTTTATTCCTTCACTTTGCTTCCAAGCTCCGAATATTCTTGACGGAAGACAAAAAACTCCCACACAAATAGTTACAAGAAGAAGGGGAAAAAAAACAACACAAACCAGGCAAGGTAAGGGCTGGAGGACGTCCACAGATAACACACATTGGGAAGGATACCAAACTCAGAGACGAATCATAAACTAAAGATATTTCCACGCTTTGTTTCCAGCGTTCGCCCGTACACAGGTCCGTACTCTTATTCAGTTGTCACAGCTGCAGCCCATGAAGAGGATAAAGGCCCTCTCCTCCCGAGTAGACCACTTCTCTCCCTTATCCTCTCCTCCCTTCATGCCCTAGGATGGATAGGGGATGGGCCTGGGTCCTCCTCTGACTGCTTAGCTGGCCTCTGCCCTTCCCCAGCCTCCTCCACAACCTCCGGAGCCACACTTCCACTCCCTGTTCCTCCTCTTCCTCAGAGTCAGTCTCCACCAGAGGCATGACACCTAAGCAGTTTTCTTGCAGCAGGGGATGAAGTATACTGATGATACTTAACTAAACATCCCTACAGGCCAAGCAAACAATACTATCAAGTTCCTTTCCCAATGTTTCTGGGAGGCCTAGATGCAGAAGAATAGGCTATGGCTTAACCTTAGCAAGACTGACTAGGTACAGGACTTAAGGTACCTTGAATCTGCATATTTTCCACTCTCAGTTCTGGATGGATTAGTATTCCACCAGATAAAATTGCAATACTATTTGGGGTCTTCTGGATTCTTGACTCCTGACTGAAGAACAGGTAGAAATCACAACCAGAAGAACTTTTACACAAATATATCTTACATGCCAATTGCACCCATTCCCAGATTAGGAGGCACTGCTTATATTCACTCATGCCTTAGCTCAATATTAGACTATTGCAATGTGCTCTATATGGGACTGTTCAAGAGCATTTGGAAACTTCAGATGGGTAAACTATAGCATACCTATGTAATACAGTTGCTATATTATATATCATGACACTGAAAGGAAAATTGGGTGTTAAAATAAGTAATTACACAATTCCTTTTTCAATATTTGCTGAACAAGCTTGACAAGCCAGCTCACCACTGGCGAGACGGTAACTTCCAAGAAGACTTATTGCCAAAATTATTTATTTATTGAATTTATTTGCCATCTATCTTGACTTTGGGCTGCTTGCTTAATCATCGGAAAGAGTATAATGTGATCATTTCATATTATGTTTCAAAGCTAATGGAGGAACATCTACCGACATGTCTGATCACTGTGAGATGATACAGCAAGGATAAGATTCCATGCTTAATTCTTTAGAAAAATTCCAGTCCAGAAATATCAGTTGCCAAGGAATGTGGAGGGTATAAAATAACTCCTGCGAGAAGGTAAATGGCTCTGCAGGCAGCTTTCACTTTTTGTAGCTCTCTGATTATTTCTGCTGTGGAACCCTCTGCTGGAAATAAAAAGCCTTGATGAAAAGGGTCACTTTTTGACCCAATTACAGCAGTAGCTTGTGGGGGGGACGGGACACCAGTGCTACCACTGCCACTTTCACTACGTGAATTCTGCTAGACCAAAAAAAAAAAAAAAAAGGTTTTTGCCTTCACTTGCAGAAGGAATTGGTTTACATTCCAGCACACCTCATATGCTGAAACCCGAACCCAATCATTGATCAGATTGCAGATAGAAAGGACATTTAATGCCTGTCAATCTTTACAAAAAAATATCACAATGGAAGTGTTTTCAAGGGACTTTTTCAGCAGTGGTCCTAACTGCCAGCATTAAAGAGGAGTCCTCTTGAACTTTTTTATTTTATTTTCCAGGCAAGTTCTGCCTACACAGGATGTCAGACAGTTCCCTAAAAAACTGCATGCAGATGATGGGGGGTGGGAGTGAGGTTAGAAGTCACAAACTCAAGACAGCAGGGAGATAAAGGAAGCAACAACTGAGGATATTCCATTCTAAACTCTTAATTTACTGAAATATTTTAACTAGTACATTGACAAATGGAATCATGGAATGGAATCCAACAAGCCAAATTCTGAGAATGAAATGCGTAAGACCGCTGATATCAGAGGTTAGTAGCAGGATGAATAGTGACAATTTCCAATCCCAAATTAAGAGCCTGTCTGTGATGACGCAGGGTGGAATACAAAAGCAACAAAGTCACAAAAACAGGTGAAGTCCCTTTAATTCCTTCAACTTGGTTTCAAAGGTCAAATTATCAGTGACTGGAGGAAAAACTTCCCCACAAACAGTTGCGAAAAGGAAGAACTCCCGTTCAAACTCAAAATACATATACATTATAAATAGAAAAAACCCAACACAAACCACACTGAAGAATTAATGAGACAAGGCAGGATAAGAGCTTGAAGATGTCCACAGCAGAGGTGCTGTTCAGCCGGTTCGCACCTACTCGGGCAAACAGGTAGCAAGAATTTGGCATGTGTCACCGAACCGGTAGCAACATCTAGCTGGCCATGCCCCCAACCTGGTTGCCCAGTTTTCGCTCACTCGCTTGCCCCACCACCCAGTGCTCACTGCCCCAGTTTAAAGGAGGTCTGCTCCCCTGTCCTAGCCATGCATTTTCAAGCAGCCACTTGAAAACACATGACTGGGCGGAGCAGCGGTCCATTAACCTGCAAAACTGTTCCAAGGCTGGATTCTTCATGAACACTAGAAGTATCGCTTCCCCTTGTGAGTAAAGTACCTGGAGTGAGAGGGAAAGAACGCTGGGGGAGCGGGGGGAAATCCAGCCATGGGGAAGTTTGCAGGAGCTTCAAATGCAAGTCCGTTTACCTGCAGAACTTCTCCAATGCTGGATTCACTTCCCCTTGTGAGTAAGGTGCCTGGAGTGAGAGGGAATGAAGGCCGCCAGGGTGTGTGTGTGTGTGTGTGTGTGTGTGTGTGTGTGTGTGTGTGAGAGAGAGAGAGAGAGAGAGAGAGAGAGAGAGAGAGAGAGAGAGAAGAAAGAAAGAAAGAAAGAAGAAAGAAAGAAAGAAAGAAAGAAAGAAAGAAAGAAAGAAAGAAAGAAAGAAAGAAAGAAAGAAAGAAAGAAAGAAAGAAAGAAAGAAAAAGAGGAAGGGAGAGAAAGAAAGGAAGAAAGAGAAAGAAAGAAAAAGAAATTGTTGATGACCCAAGCTCTGTAAAGGACCTTGGAATACTCACCTCTAATGATCTAAGTGCTAGAGCCCACTGCAACTACATAGCCAAAAAGGCATTAAGAGTTGTTAACCTAATCCTACGTAGCTTTTTCTCTGGTAATATCACACTACTAACCAGAGCATACAAAACATTTGCTAGACCAATACTCGAATACAGTTCATCAGTCTGGAACCCTCATTACGTATCTGATATTAGCACAATTGAGAAAGTCCAGAAATATTTCACAAGAAGAGTTCTCCACTCTTCTACTCGTTGTAGAATACCTTATGCCACCAGACTTGAAATTCTAGAACTAGAAAACCTTGAATTACGCCGTCTTCGGTCTGACTTAAGCATGGTATATAAAATCATACATTGCAATGTCCTACCTGTCAATGAATACTTCAGCTTCAACCATAACAACACAAGAGCACACAATAGATACAAACTCAAAGTAAACCGCACCAAACTTGATTGCAGGAAATACGACTTCAGCAATAGAGTGGTCAATGTCTGGAATACTCTACCCGACTCTGTAGTCTCTTCCCCAAACCCCAAAAACTTTAACCTTAGACTGTCTACTATTGACCTCACCCCTTTCCTAAGAGGTCTGTAGGGGGCGTGCATAAGCGCACCAACGTGCCTACCGTCCCTGTCCTATTGTTTCTCTTATTCTTTTATTTTTCTTATATGTACCCATTTCATGTATTCACAACTATGTATACACTTATACTTATTATCTTGTAAACAATTGGCAAATCAAATAAATAAATAAATAAAATAAATAGGTAGAGAGTGTGTGTGATGTGTGTGAGAGAGAAAAAAAGAAAGGGAGAGAAAGACAGAGACAAAGAAAGGGAAAGAAAGAAAAAGAAATAGGAAGGGAGAGAGAAAGACAGAGAAAACTCTGTGCTAATGTTTTTAATTGTTCCATTATTTATCATGTGTTAATATTTTACACTGTCCCTACACCTAGAGTGATTCTACTGCCTTTCTTTTGCCCAGGGCTACCACATATTTTTCAGGGTTTACATGCATTCAATGTCTATAATCCAGAGCATAAATACATGTGTGGTAGCCCAGGGCTACCACATATTTTTCAGGGTTTACATGCATTCAATGTCTATAGTGCAGAGCATAAATACATGTGTGTTTAACAGAGTTGAAAGAGTTTGGAGGTCTTCTAGTCCAAGCCCCTGCTCAGGCAGGAAAACTGAGGATGCCAAACTCTGAGTAGAGGTCCTGAGAAAGGTGTCAGAATAACACTTAGAAGAGACTTATGGGGAAACCCTATACCATTTCAGAGAAATGGCTGTCCAGTCTTTTAAAAATTTCCAGTGATTGATCACCCAGAACTTCTGGGGACAAGCAGGTCCACTGGTTAATTGTTCTCACTGTCAGAAAGTTTCTCCTTAGTTTTAGGTTGCTTCTCTCTTTGTTCAGTTTCCATCCATTGCTTCTTGTTTGCCTCCTGGTGCTTTGGAAAATACATTGTCTCCCTTTCTTTGTGG